TGTACGAAAACAACAATGTTTGTACGTAGCAGTAAGTTTAATATGGCTGTATCGTATGGGAATGTAGGTATCTGTGTCGTGTTGTTACACTAACTTAAAAACCTTTACGACCAGGGAATCGCAAGTTTTCGACAGGTTAGCACAGAACAACAAAGCTCAGTGGTGTTTTCCGTTTCAGAAAAGTGTGTTTTTCAACGGAAGGGCGGTTATAGCTATAACCGCCCAACCCCTCTCAGCCATAGAGACAAAGCGAAAAGAGTGGAGTGTGTACAAGGCCGAGCGGGCGGGGGGCGGCGGCGCGCGCGTGGTTTCCCCTTATTTCCCTCCATAACACTTCAAGCCTTTAAAAGGAGTTGGTGTTTAAAATGTGAGAAAAGATAGGCTAGCTTTCCAATGTGGGATACTTGGTAAAGACACTTTCTTATGCCTTTGCCTCATTAATGTTCCCAACAGTTCTTCCGTTCAGTAGCTAGCGGGTACGGATCCCATGCTGGCCTTAAGGAATGCATTGAGCGAGCAATATATGGATTTTTTTTTTTTGTTTTTGTTTATTTTTTTTAATTGGAATTGGCCCGTGCGCAGTGACTTGGACGATGCAATTTGTAATGATCCAAGCATGTACAGTTGGTTTGAAATCCTTGGTCTCGGCCCTTCTCGCCTTTCCAAAGGGTAAAATTTATCAAACTCGGACTAATTTTGCAATAAAAGTTAAAAAATGTCAAAGTCGAGACCGACGCATGGCCACTAGGATGAATTGATTATTTTACCTAGCAATAGGCAAGATAAACAATTCAGAGCCCCTTCACGTGGATTAGTGATCCACTGACTAACATGAGATATTATTATATATATGTAAACATATTGTAAAAATGTATGTCCACATGCATTCTCCAAACTCCTGTAATAACTTTTGCCATTTTCCTCAACTTTCTTCCTCTCTAGCTCGGTTGGGATTAGAGTCAATGTTTCTAGGAACATCCCATGGTGTCTTTTGCGATTTTCAATCATAATTCATATCCCACAGAGAAGTAACCGACACCAACCATTATGAATGCGACAATAATTATTTGCGTGAATAAATGCATGTGCAGAAGAGAGGATTAGCAGCAAGAGTTTTCTGTGTATTCTAAGACAAGAAAGGGCAGGGAATAAGGTATTACGGAAGATTGATCAAATAATCTGGACAAACGGCACCCCCGGAGATAAGGTTCTCACCGGACTCCTCCCTGCAAAGATAATCTCTAAATCGGCAACAATATCACAAGAAACTGAAGCATCAGCTTGCATCCTATCTAATCTCTAGGTTACGAAGCTACGAAGCTATTCACCAGCGGCGATGCTGACGCTCACAAGTCACAACATCCAACTGTGTCCTCCTTGTTGATCCTGGAAACCACGTACGTTCTCAATCTGTTATGTGAACACTTCCCCTACACGTTTCTCCCCAAAGATTTCTCCATTGCTCATAAGTTCAAAAGCTTTGATCAGAACTCCCGTTAGTGCCATGGCTACATGCTAAAGCATAATATTTCTGCAATACCACCTTTCATCTATGTCCATATGATATATGACATTGATTAAAATCACAAACTATGCCTCCACCTCCGGGCTCCGGCAACCACCGCGGTAAAATCACAAACTATGCTTCGATCATCTACCATTCCCGATACCCGATAGAGAGATCAAAACGTTCCACTTCGCGTCTCCTTCCTGTGACCCGGAACTTCCGCAACTGCTCGAGCGTTTCGGTTCAACCAACAATAATTCACCCGATCCCTGAGATTTTCGTCTGAAAAAATGTTCCAAACCCCTCTTAGTTTTGGCCAGCTTCAGCACCTCTTCTCTCATGTTTTGGCATTCTTTTCGGGATCAGCAACGCGATGCCTCATGTCTTCCATTCCTGTCCCTCCCTTGCATTGCTCGTGCCACTCATCGTTTTGATTCTGCGCTGCGTGTGTGCTTGCCTCTAACCAAAGCTTCTCATCTGACAGTTCATCAGTCTGCAGATTTGTCTCTTTCTACATCTGCAAGCCAATGATGTGCCTTTAGATATACATCAATTGCACGATAGATGCCGTCAGAGAGTGGTATTGCACAATTAGAGTATCGCCAACCTACTCAACACCAAATTTCTCCACAAAATGTCACATGAATATTCTCACACCAAATTAGGGATTGCAATAGCCAGGGCCTGGAACTTTGGGAACTTGAGGTTAACATGGTCCTACCTCAGCAAGATACGAATCCACCAGATTGGCAACCCTTGTTATTGATGTTAAAGAATAGGTGTTGGTGGTTGATTTCGTTAGAGACATTGTGAAGGAGCACGCTCGGGGTCGAGCTCTCAATAAAAGCACCATAATATTTCCTTCTACTGATGTAGGTAGAATATTACAAGTGGATTGTAATAAAATAATTGAACATGTCCTGTCTAGCTTAAATATAAGCTATTTATACAAAAGAAATCCCAATCAATTAGTGCTAAATTCGTGATAGGTCACAAGATTAAGTCAGGTTCATACGGTGGGTCACGAGACTAAGTCAAAGCCCATCATGCTGGGCCCGGAGACAGGGCTCCGGGCTTAGACTCTTCTTGGGCCTCTCGAGTTATACGTTCTCAGGCTCTGGGTCCCTATTATTATTAGGTCATTTCTAAGGGGGGCAAATTATGGTCCACACAGTGTTATGTAGAACATAACAAAAAGTGCATTTTAATATACTAAATGTACATTATTTTTGTACTGAATGTACATTATTTTTATACTAAATATACATTATTTTACAGTATACAAAATATGATTCACATAACTTGTGTGGACCATAGTCCATACAATAATGATTGATCTAAGGGTGTGTTTAGTTGATGGGTTTTGCCGATAGGAATGAGTATGCAAGTGATTGTTATTGTTTGGTTGGTATGTTTTTAGAACACTACTATGAGTTTCGAATACCACATCAATTGAAAAACTCTTACACAAATAAAATAAGAGTTTAATTCCCTTATTCATTCTCAAGCACTACTGTTAGTAATCATTCTCATTCCACCCATTACCAAACATGTTAAATACTTTCACCAAAATTCATTACTATTACCAAGTATTTGATACTTATTCTGATTCTGATTCCCATGTGCGAACCAAACACACCCTAATATATCCATTAGCTAGCATTACGTAGTAAATAGTAACCCGAAAGACGAAGAGATTGTTGTTAGAAAAGACAAAAACCAAAATAAATGGATAAGAAGAATTTAACGAGCTAGAAATGCAAATTAAGTTTTATGAAGTCCATAAGTAGTTAGTTTTTTTGCACAAGTTTTTAGGAGCAAGTAAGAAAGAGAAGGGCGGAATTTTTTTTTAAAAAAAAAAAAAGAAAAAAAGAAAAATGAGTTTTCAAGAAAAAAAAAACAGAATGTTAACGCGCCCAGCGGAGTGCACATGTTCGTTGGGCGCTTCTGATGTGCCTCACGCGCATCAAGGAGGAGTTTTTTTTTTTTTTTTTTTTTTTTTGTGGGGCCACTCATGAGACAAAACACTTTCTCTCCCCCATTTCTCTCTTCCACATATGATTAGATTTCCTCAAAAACCACCCCAAAATCTCTATTGGAAATGTTCTAAGAAAATGAGAGACAGAGAGAAATATTTTAGTTGTATGAAGTAGACATTTTGATACATTATGTTAAAAATTTGTTTTTAAAATATTTGTGCACCAACTTAAAAAAATCCATGTATATTAGTTTTTTTTATTTTTTTTACAAGTTGAATATTATAATTGAATATAATTAAGGTATCATCTAACTCTTCCTATCCTCAGGGTCGGACGAAACATATGAACGATCTTTTTTCTGCCTCTTGCCTTTTTTTAACGGCAACAATTCCTGTTGAAGGAGAGGAAGCTGCATTGCGCTCGAATAGTTGAGCGGCCGCCGACCAGAGCTCTCTCTCTGAGAGCTTGATCGGGAACACTCTCAAAATTCGACACGGAGAGAATCTTATTTCAAAGAGTAATTTCGAGAATGTCATAATTGTAATGATATAAAGATTTGATACTATAGTTTAAAATTTCAAAGATTTTTAGATAGGGTTGTTATGCATAAATAAATAAATAAATAAATAAATAAATATATATATATATATATTAATTGTTCATAATGCAAAAGTTTTATATTAAAGTTATGTTTGGCATGCGTAGCTAAAAAAGCTAGTTAATAGTTGAATGATGAATGACTAATAGCTAATAAGCTAAATAGTTGAAAATTGAAATTAATGTGTTTGATAAATTTAGTTGCTGAATAAGCTGATAAGTCTAAAAGGTATAGAAGATTAAATTGACATATTATGAATTTGATTAATAAATGGTAGATGGCGTCATTTTTTGTAAATTACAAAAAAAGATTAAAAAAATTAAAAACCAATAGTTTATTTTGAACCGCTACTTGGAGTAACGTTTCAAAATAAGCTATTATTTTAAACTCATCATGTTTTACCAAACAGAGCTTATAGCTTACTTGTAGGTTGAAGTAAACTATAAACTCTAAAATATGTTCTACCAAACATATCCAAAATTAACTAAATTTAAAATTTTAGATAGAATTGTCGGTTTTAGTCCATTAGTTATACCTAAATTGTAATTTTTAAACCTAGTCGATGAATTATTACCCAATGTAAATTTTTCCTTTTAATTATGTTGAAAGTGACATTTTCAATCCATTACTTATAGATTTTGTTAATGTTAACATTTTATTTTGAATTTTCAAATTATTAAAGAAAATATTGATTATTTATTTTGTAAAGTTTTCTCTAATTCCCTTCATGAATCTTCATATATAAGCTACCTCAAAATCCTTGTTAAATACTTGTTTGTCTTGATTGAGGAAGAATTTGTGAAGCAAAAATGAAAAGCAGTAGATTACATAGGGTTGAAGATACACCGAATTGTATATGTTTAATATGTTAGTTTATTACAATTTTTCCTTTTGTTGAATGTAAATTACTCCCTCTGTCTCATTTAATCTGTCCTACTTACTATTCATTGGTCAAATAAACTTTTTTTTTTGTTTATTTTCTTTAGTATTTTTTACTCATTTTTAAATTTGAATTTTTGGGTTTAATAGTACTTTTAGTGTAGTTTCTAAATATATAAATTTTGTATAATAATACTAAACTTAATATTATAAAAATTTGAAGTAGTAATAACTTCAGTCAAGCCTCGTTAACCGAACCAGATACATAAAGCTTGTTTTTTGCCTATTAAACCATGTAACTCAAGGCATCATTTTGATGTTTTGGTGCGTATTAAACCATTTAAAAATTCGGTTGTATTTTGTGCACCTCATGGATATTTTTTTTGGTTGTTTTGGTGTCTTTAAACAAGTGTAACTTACAATATTATTTTGTGCAACTTAAGATGTTATTTTACAGTACTATATATATGAAGATTCATGGATATATAATACCCGCTTTGAGCAGGGGCGGACGCATCCAAACAAAAATGAAGATTCGTAGAAGAAATTTAAGCAAGTTTTACGAAATAACAAATATGTCCTTTAATAATTTGGAACTTCAAAATTATTAGGAATATCACCCGACATGCTCAACGCAAGAGAATAAGAGACACACATTGGCAACACATGCCTTCGCGACATCACTCGTTACGAATAGAGAATTACACAACGGCAACACTTACCTTCGTGTCATCGCCCATCACGAATTGATATGCCTTCCTTATGCCCAGTTCCAACCTTATGGCTACCCCCAACCTTATGTCTAGTTCCAACCTTTACCTCCATGACCCCTGTACTTCCAAGTCCAACCTTTTCCCTTCTGGGACCATCGTCCCCCACCAACGACCATCAACAATTCCACCAATTCATAGTACACGAGGGTACCGATCACACACTTTGGCAACACATGCCTCCCAAGAAAACGTGAACCCATCACTCAGGTCACAAACTCCATAATCGCGTCATGGCCACCACGAGGACCACTGTCGTACCTTGGTGACTAATGTCTCATACCATTAATCGTGCAATCCAGGTACAACATAACACCATCATAGGAATCAATTAACGGATCACAACGAAGATATTAAACCATACTCAACAAGAAAAGGATCACAATCCGACAGCAACGATGATTAACACAAGCCATCTCCACAATAGGAAAGAACAAACCACACACGCTAGCATTTAGACACCGAACTAACATGCTTATCAAACGGGTAAACAACACATAGTCCCAAAGAACATACAAGACTCATCATGGTTCAACGAATCACAAGGTTGAACACTTAGCACGATTCAAGACACCAACACCTACATGGAATCCTACCATATAGTTCTAGACATACGAAACATCAAGAAGACACTCAAATAGTTCTACAAAGAACATCGGGAACTCAAAACACCAAATACCGAGTCAAAAGAATCACGGGGAACAAATCCCTGCACAAGCCAACATTGTACCCCGCGGGTGGAGCCACGGGTGGACTCCCACCGGCCTTGTGCCCCGCGGGTGGGGCGGCGGGTGGTGCACTACCCACCGTTCCGCCCGCGGGTACATACCCTGTATCAAAACATCCCTTCGGGGATTTTTAACACCAAGCTCAAATCCAAGTCCAAAACATCGAAAACCTCACCAAATACAACAAAGTGACTTGAATCAAAAGAATAGCCAAGCAATGGCATACATGAACCCTAATAACAAGCTCTAGATATGCATTTTCACAAGACAATGCATCAACACTCACATTTCATAGCAAAATCACATGTAGAATCCAATAAATCATCATGTATGTAATGAAAATAGATTTTGTAGAGCATGGGTTACCTCATTCGCTTATCCAACCAAAACCAACGCCAACATAGGCTAGGCTCAACACAAAAACCAAGCTACCGGGAACCTGTGAATCAAACCGATCCTTCAACTATTAACACAAGTACTAATTAAAACTAATAAGCTCATAAAGGGATTTAAACTCTAGTTCCACCCTAAATTACCCATAAGTCTAACCATCTAAACTAGGTATTCTATTAGTAACTTAAGTATTAAATCCTTAATCAAATAAACACTCAAGTTCAAGATAAACTATTAATTAAAAGCTAAGAATTTAAACTTAAGCTAATAGGAGATTTGAACCCTTTGCCAAACCATAACATAATTACACACCTTACCATCTAAGCTAATAATAACTCAATTAGAAACTTTACTAAACAAAAACTAATTAATCTAATACAAACAACAACAACCAAAGCTAAGCTGCTCACCACTGATCTTCTACGTCTTCTTCATGCATCCATGCCGCGGGTGGAACCACGGCAAAGTCAGCACCCGTTGCTCCTCCCTCTGCCAGCTGCCATGCCGGAGCACCACTACCCCATCGGAGATCATCCCCAACGACGAGAGAGGAGGGAAACAGCCTCCGCGTAGCTCTGCCGTTACCGCCGTCGCCACACACCTCCACCGCCCAGAGCTGCCGCAAGCTTCCATGAACTGCCCGAATCATCACCACCGGAGGAGAAGCTCGCCGGAAAGGAAAGCTGATGGTTCGCCGGTGCTTGCTGCCCTACCGCCGATCTACCTCTGTTTCGCTGGAGTTGCTAGCTGTCCGGAGAAGCCACACCACACCACTGCCGACCCTTTGCTGTCGAGCTTCACCTGAGCTACTGCCGTCGGAGGAAAAGAAAGAAGATGGACGAAGGAGATGAAGGTGGTGGGTGCGGCTGGTGAGTCGAATGAGCTCAAAAGAGACCGAAAGAGGATGTTTGGTTTCTTCATCAAAAGAGGGATTGCTATAGTGCATACATACACACAATAGATAGGGTTAACTTACTAGGTTGGGCTTGGGTTTGGATAGGTTTAGGGCTTGATAGAAAATACACATTATTTTGGGCTCTCAAAATAATAATAACACGTATATTATACAAACATGTGGGCTTGACTAGCTTGTGTTCAAAGCATACATAACATATAATAAATAAATACATTTTTTGGCTTAAGGCATTTGGGCACAAAAATACCGGTTCACAATAATAGGTAGACCCGAGCCCATTTAAATTAATTGGCTATATATAAATATTTTTAAGAAAAATATTTACTATCGGGACTATAATTTATTTTATGAAAGTACGGGGTGTTACATCCTCACCTCCTTAAAAGAAGCTTCGTCCCCAAAGCTAGAAAATCATTTTGGGGATAAGAGTGTCACAAAAATACGATAATATATAGAGAAAATATTTTACAGGCAATTATATATATACTAGGGTTTGGAAAGATTCGGTTCGATAGGTTAGGAAGGATGGAGGGTTTAGATTTTAAACTCAAGGACACGATGGTTGGTAAGGAAAAAGGGAATGAGAGTTTAGGTTCCAAACTTGAGACAACGTCAATTAGGATTAGGATCAAAGTCATCAAAGTTGCAACTTAGGAAATAAGGTTGCCTCATTGCACAGAATTATATGAAGTGAGGGATCAAGAATGAGGTTTGAAAGGATTGAAAGAATTTCCTAACGGAAGGCAATAGATCTAGGCTCAAGAATAGCGTAGGTTAGAAAGGAAATCAAGATTTTCAGGGTTACAACTTAGGAAAACGAGGTTGTCACCCTGTACAGAATCAAATTAAGAAGGAAACAAGAACGAGGCTCGAAGAGATAGGAAGGATTTCTAGGAAAAAGACATTTGGGTTTGACAAGAAGAGGAGAGTAAATGGCTTAGAGAGGGTTAAGAATTCTCGACTTCAGGCGACTTCTTCGGCTTGACTCTTCGATCATTGCACTTTTGACGAACTGAAGGTTCCTTACCTAGATTCTGACTCGTTCCCACGCTAAGATCTATACCGGACTCTCTTCATACGCTGAGATCACAAACATCTTCACTACAAACCCTTCTTCAAACACTGGTTGCTTCTTTAACTTTGTCACAGCCGAGTGAATCTCACACGGACCAGGCAACTGTGGGTTGACTTGCTTCCCTTATCGATCTTCATCATTGCGTTAGAAACGAAACTCTTAGCAACCTTCCTTGATCTTCTTAGAGATTCGGCTTGTTGTCCGTTCTTGCTAGGCCATTATCGGTTAGAGCGTTGACTAACTCTTTCCTCTTTCTTTGAGTGCACCCGGTTGTCTGTTCTTGCCATCTCAAGACTTCGGTGATTTACAAACCAAACTTCTTTCTTTATTGCACCTGACGATCATCGAGGTCTAAGCACCCACGTATTCCTTGCACATTCCTTAGCGTCGTGAAATTTGGCACTCTAAATCTCACACAATCTTGTAAGGATTCCTTTGAATGCTTGACAACAACCACCGCTGATAGGGACACTTGATCCATTATTAGAGCACAATCCACGGCCTTCGTAGATCCGTAGTGCAAGTTCCCAACTTGCCTTCTTGATCTGTATGGTTCTTCCCCGTTAACCATCTAAAGCTGGTTGAATTGTAGAGTTCAACTGTAACCTTAAGCCAAACACAAACGGTAGAATTTTTTTCGTAATCTGACGTCTTTGCCAAAGTCAACATCTAGAGGCCTTACATGGTTCCTTGCCCAAAGACTTGCTCCTGTCCTTACTAGAAGCTCAGTAGGTCGAGTCTTGTTCACCGTTGATAACTTTGCAATCTTCATAAGGTAGTCGGCTACAAACCAACTTTGTCTTTTCTTGTCTTGATTAACGGTAGGTCTTCCCTGAAAACTTTGTTGCCTCGCGAGCATGTCTTACTTATGAAGGTCCATCGGTAGAACTGGTCCTTAAGTTTATCCCTGACTGCCCTTCCTTTCGCTATTCAATCTTCCCATACAAGATCAGCTACTTCTCGTTCCTTCCTGGTTTTAGGTAAATCTCTTACCAGGAAGCATCGGCGTAGATTCCCACTTGCAACTTAGGAACACTCGGTGATCAAATCCGTCTTTTGATTCGCTCTTGTCGGTTTGAGTCTTCTGGCTGCCCCAACGTTTGATTGCATCTCGATTATGTCTTCTTTTCTTCTTGTTGTCAAACCTCCTCACCAAAGGTCTTCATGTTAACCATCACTTTCCAGGTGTGCCGACTAAGATGAACACTACCCTCATTCACCAACTACCACTCAACCTCTTCATGTTTCACCGGGTTAGACGACTTGCTAGCAACATGGTTCCTCTTCTCCGTGCACTATAAAGGTCCGAGCTTTTCCTGTATTGCCATCTTGATCTTTATTACTTCTAAGTTCATTGTTCCGAACTTGCCCGTTCCCGGTTTCTTCGAATGTAGCTAGAACTACTTCCATGTTGAACACTTCGATCTTACACTTCAACTCTTCGTGCTTTAGAACGGTCCAAAGTTGACTCTTAGCTCTTTAACTCTGGAAGGCTTCTATCACACGATCCAACGACCGCTCTTAGAGCGTCTATGACCGCTCTTGACTTCCCCTCACGAGTGAGGGTCTTCTAATCTTGATCTTCGAACTCTAAACGACGTCTTGCTTCTTATCGGACTTCGGTTGCATGAAAGATAAACTTCAACTCTAGGATTAGCGTAGAACTGATGACGACGTTGTACGAGAGACGGCGCCACTTGCTTGAACAGAGGTTGTTGTAGCTGACTCCCGATTGCGTGTAGAGTAGTCCATCTTCTTTGCGTTGACCACGTGCCCAGCTGCATCCACCACGACTTGACTATCTCGTGACAACAGACCTTTGACTCTTCTTTCTCTTAGCCACAGACTTCGTCAAGACTTTAACGAACTCAAAACGAGGCGACTTACCGAGAGGGTTCACACCAACCGAGAACAACAACCACAACTACTAGAGCTAACAACAGAACAAGATAAGAGAACTAAATAGACAACAAAAGATAACACACAACCTCACCGCGCGTCCTAAAAATACTACACTTAGGTACTTAAACACTTAGAGACTTCACTAAACATCTTAAGGTCTCAACTCACAAACACTATCCTTAGCTCAACTTAGGTCTTTAAAGTCCAACTCTTAACATCCTAGGCTCAAACCTGGCTCTGATACCAACTATAACACCCCCGATTTCCATGCCAATTTAAACTTAAACATGCAAGATATCTAACCACAATATAAGCATACACAGCGGAAGTCTTAACTTTATAAAAGCTGAAAAACTAAGAGTGTTATGCCACGTCCACGCTAAGGTGAACGCACAGGCGAAAACAACATCCACATCATCAGTCTAAAGGAACAAGGTCAAACCATACAAAAGTCTAAAATCCAACGTAGAAGGCACACAGGCCCAAAAAGAACTACAAAGTCTGAGGGATCTATACTATCCATTACTAGATCGCGCTCGCCACTACTCGGAACCTGAAAAACACATAGATAAATGGGACGACGCTCGGTCAGCGATTAATGCTGGTAACCCACCAATACATGTCAATAGCATATATAGATAGATAGTTTATTGCAAAATCATTTCGAAACGGAATACTGTATATATAAGTTCAAAGACAAGGATAGAAGTCAACCATAAGACTCTATACCACTCTCAATAAGAATAAGGGAACACATCCCAAGACAACAAGATGTAAACAACGACAACACAAGTAAGGCTCAAGGTATGCTCTACCATCACTCAGTAGAATATCACCCGACATGCTCAACGCAAGAGAATAAGAGACACACATTGGCAACACATGCCTTCGCGACATCACTCGTTACGAATAGAGAATTACACAACGGCAACACTTACCTTCGTGTCATCGCCCATCACGAATTGATATGCCTTCCTTATGCCCAGTTCCAACCTTATGGCTACCCCCAACCTTATGTCTAGTTCCAACCTTTACCTCCATGACCCCTGTACTTCCAAGTCCAACCTTTTCCCTTCTGGGACCATCGTCCCCCACCAACGACCATCAACAATTCCACCAATTCATAGTACACGAGGGTACCGATCACACACTT